GAAGTGAGGTTTTTGGGTTTGATTTCTCATCATTTAGACTCATTTGACAAACTGAGGGAATATTTTTCTTTGAGATTCCCCCCTTGCATTGTTGTCTTAATTTTTATTGTGTTGAAAATAGTGCACAGTTCAGAATCTTACAATATCATTGTCATATTATTTTCCTATCTGCCTAGATACTATTTTCTTATCTGTCTTGTATGGTTGGGTTCCTGTATAATGGAAGTGGGATACTACTACTAATATTAAGGCCTTTTGTGTGGAATATAAAAAATACCCTAATTATCAAGTGAGTGACCACTCGTTTAAACTTTATGCCTCTGAAAACCCACTGGAGGGTCAGCTGTAAGGATGTTCCAATTTGATAATACACAACAATAATCAATAGTTATACTTTTGTGTATTTCTGCTATCTTTTAAGAATGATGGTAGCAGGGCCGGAATAGTGAAATTGGTCTGCTCAATCTGAGGTCAACCAGGTCACTCAGAGAGGAAAGTAGACATGTGGCATTGGGGCTTGCTCAATTCCAAATAGGAATTGATCTGAGAAATGTTTACTCTCACTCAGGCTGAGAACGGAGTTACCACTAAAACCAGGATGTTCCTTTGTTTGCCAAAGCTCACACTTCTCTCTCAAGGAACCGAGTCTCTAGCTCTTCTTCTATTTTCCTCAAAGTTTCCTGGTATTTCTTCAAAGAGAAAGAAAAAAAAAGTGTAGTTATTAATTAGAAGCTTTGTGGGTTTTGAAAAAGTAAAAATAAGCAGTTATTATTACATTCAAATATAAGCATTCAATCTTCCCATTGCCATTTTCCTTTCACTATTCCCCATTCACCACTTCTACTGATATCTCACTCAATTTCACTGCGGGGTGGGATTTGAGGGGGTAATTAGAGTTATAAATAGGAGGAGAGCCAGTTAATCATTATTTATTTAGGAGCACAGACATTGGGAGCCCATAGCTGTAATTTTCAGGGAATTGAAGAATAAGAGACATGTTGGAGGTGAGGTATTGTTACAGGGGTAATTGTGTCCTCTGCCTTCCTTCCACCTCAGCTCCAGTGCTAAATTTGTTGAAGTTCTAACTTCTGGTACCTGAGAATGTGACCTGTTTGGAGAAGTTATCAGTGAGGATGACATGAAGTTACACTGGAGTAGGGTATACCTAATCCTGTATGACTAGTGTCCTTATGAAAGAGGAGAGGAAAGAAACAGATAGGAAAGAAAGGTAGGCTACCATGAAACACTGCATCCCTAAGCCAATGACTGTCTGGAGTCACAGAAACCAGGAGAAAGAATGGGCTGGTTTTTCTTGCAGAGCCTACAAACTTCTTTATGACTTGAACTCCCAGCCTCCAGAATTATGAGGCAATAAATTCTGTTCTTATATGCTACCTAGTTTGTGATACATTAATACCTGTGAAAACCAGAACCCATTTAAGGTAGAAACCTGTCTGATAAGAACAACTCAAATATTTTCCATTAAACTGAGTGATAGGAATGTACTAAGACTGCTACCCACCAAAGGTGAAAAACGTACAAGGCCCAAAAAAACAAGGCTATCTCATCAAGTTCTTGTTCTTCTTCAGTTCACTGTATTACGTTATGGTGGTTCTAAGAAACTAAGAAACAAGTGTTGATAGCCTTAAAGTTCCTTCATAAAAATTATTCAAGATAATACTCTTAGAAACAGGTTCTGTTTAATTTTGTATATTGTTAAAATAGTCACTATCCCTTTTCCAAGAGGCTGTACCTTTATGCAGAGGGCCTGATCTTCACAGAGTTGAATCACAAATGCATACTCCTTCATTACCTGGGAAGCCAAAGTTTGGGCTTAAATTTCTCCCCTTTTATGTCCTGGACCCTAACATTGCTGGGCAAAAAGTGCATTTGAAAATGAACTAATTTTAAACAAAAATTTTCAAACTTATTTTTTGAGGCTTAAACATGCTGTAATAGTCTTTTACAGTGTAAATGTGAATTATTTGGGAGAGGTTGGGAGGAGGATAGCTACTAATGTGTAGGAGAGTACAGATTATAGAATATAATCTATAAAAAAGGTCAAAGAGGAGACAGTCTTTCTTTTCTGCTTCTCCTCTCCACCCCCATAATGTTCTTAGAGCTGACCCTGATTATGACTGGCACATGACAGAGCAAGTTTTTGATCTGATGTTCACAGGGCCACTATGTTCATAGTCATTATGTTCATAGAGTCAATATGTTCATAGTGTCACTATAAGGGGTATTTGACTTGATGACACCTAATAGCAACACTAAGTTGAGTGACCAAGGACCAAGTTTCCTTTTTGAGGTAGAGAAGTATAATTTGAAGAAGCTACTATGTTTACCTCGGTCATTTTTCTCTCTTGATCTGCACAGGATGCTTCCAGCTGTTGTAACCTAACCTGTAGAAAAGAGAGGAGGCAGTTAACAGTGCAGAATTTCACCTCAGACTCAACAGTCATGGTAGAGCATCAACACCATGATTTCAGACGGAGGAGCCAAACCAGCCGGCTTTCTCCTCCGCAGGCTGCTCGCTGGCATCCAGACTCCTTCGTAGTCACCATATCCTACCTCCACTTCCAAACGTCTCAGCTTCCTTCTCTTAGCAGTTTCTTTTGATAAGTAAATTTATTTTTTCAGTTAAATTGGAAAACTTCATTCTTCTTCTTTCTTTTATTTATTTATTGTTAGAATCCACTCTTTTGCTACTCCGCTTTCCCCCTTTTCTTCCCTCCCGCTCTTCAATAGTTGTTGAAATCCTCTTAAGTGTTGGTTTCGGTGCCAGGTACTGGGATACAGAGGTGAATGGGACGACATAGACTTTCGTCCCGCCCTCTTAGAGTTGACTTTCTATTTGAGAGATATAAAGTTAGTTGACATGACATGATACATGCTAGGAGGGACATGGTTTGAAAACACCAGCGGCTCTGCAGGAGAAGAATGGGAATCTCCTTTGAATTTATTGCCCCTGAAAACCTGCCAGAAGGTCAGCTATCAGTTGGTTCTGACTTGATAGGATCCAACAACAACAACAACAACGTGATGGAAAGTGAGTGATAGTGGTAAATGTATAAGAGCTAATGCAGATGATTGAAGGAATTCTGTCTGAAGAAACTAGATCTGAATTATAATCTAAATGATAAATAATATGGAAGGAATGTATTTCAAGCAGAAATGGGGGAAAGGGTTGTGACTAGGGGGCAGGTAGCAGAGATTTGCCATGTCAGAGATTGTATGGTTACAGCACAGAGTAGACTGGTGGGCAGGATAGATTATATGGGGCTTTTTACTTTCAAAAGAGCCCAGGTGGTGCATTGCTGAAGTGTTCAGATACTGACAGGTCAATTGTCAGAACTCTTTAGTCTGCTCCATGAGAGAAAGATGTGGTAGTCTGCTTCTGTAAAGATTACAGCCTTGGAATTGCTATAGAACAGTTCTGTAGATTTCATCCATTGGCTTAGTGGTAAGGAGTTACACTGCCAACTTCAAGGCAGATAGTTCAAATCCATCAGCTGCTTATTGGGAAGAAGATAGGCATCCTCCTCCTGTGTGATTTATTACCTCTGAGAACCCACTGGAGGATCAGGAATGAGTCGATTCCGGCTCTATGGTACAGAACAACAACAGAATCACTATGAGGTGTAATTGCCTCAAAAGCAACAGGCTGTAGCTTCTAGTAAAGAAATATTTTTTTGAATTGATTGTTTAACATTCTAATTACAATCAAAAGTTAAGGGAGGAACTGAAGCAGCAGAGTTATAAATTAAATCTGTTTTTAAAGTCTCCTCTATGTGCGGAAAATGGATTTTTTAGGTGGAAGATCAAAAGCAGGGAAATTGCTTAGGGGTGAGTGCAGTTGCCCAGGTGAGAGATGTTGTGGTGTTTTGTAGTAATTGTAGTCAGATTCAAAGATTTAGACTCATTGCCATCGAGGCAGAAATGACTCATAGCTGAGCCCTCAGTGGATTTCTGAAGCTGTAAATCGCATGGGAGGATCTGGCCCATATTTCCCAATGGAGTGGCTGGTGGATTCGAACCGTCAGGGATGAGTAGCCTTTGGATTAGCAGCACAATTTTCTCTGGCCTAGGTCATCAGCGCTCCCTAATGGATGCGTTAGAAATCCATCTGGAGGTGGAGTTGACTGCATCACTGCTCTGCTTTTCAGTTCTGTTGTTCTTACTTTCATCTAGTTTCCATTATAACACATCTAGATTCTCCTAACAGTTTCTTTACATTCTCACAGTTTCTTTCTCCTCTAATTAATTGCCTTCAGGGCCCGCCAGCCAAATGTGCTAAGGGCTAGAATTTCAAGCCAATAGTCTGAGTCACAAGTTGAAACAGACATTCCACTTAACTATTGAACTGTTCACTAGCCTGTCAGAGGAACAGAAGCAATGGTACAGTGTCTGTTTATGACCAGTAGGACATTGTTTAAAGGATTATAATACTCCAGAACTCATTAGGGTCGATCTGACTGCTGTTAGGAAAGTGGGTAGTGGTCACTGCTTTGACAAATGCCTGAGACTCCAAGTATCTATCACCTGACCAAGTCAGCACAGCCAATCATAGATTCTGACTGGATTTACTGTCAGGAAAAGCTCTTATAGGAAGAAGAAGGGATTCTAGAGAGGAGAAAAAAGACTTTTCTGATCACTAAAATCATATGAAAAGGATAGTCAAGGCTCTTTAAAACCCTTTTTAGTCTTAACTCCAATTTCTTCCAGTGTGCACACAAGGGTCCACACTTTATTTTCCCTATCCAGTTAAGTTTTTAAATTTACATTGTCAAACAGTCTCAGGTGGTGTCCTTAAACTTCCTACTTTTGCATCCACCACCCCTAAATTGGTTAGTGGAAAATGGAGGAACAAATCTAGACTCATTCATTTTCTATTTCCGGCATGTTTGTATTCTCAGAGGGTTCATGTACATAGCACAGTGGGAGATGTAGAATGCCTTACATAAGGCAAAGAGGTAACTTTACAGGAAGTGTGGAAAATGTCACCTACTCTGAATAAAAACAGTGTTCCAATTTTTAGCTTGCAATTTGCATCAGATAAAATGTTTGGCCCCAGATTCTTAGAGAAATGCAAAGCATGGTATGATATGCCTAGCAGTTTGTAGTTATTTGGTGTTGATGAATCAATTTTTCACTCATATCAACCCAGTGTGACAGAGTAGAACAGTTTTCTAGGTGGTAATCTTTATAGGAAGCTCTGTGGCCTGGTGATAAAAAGCTGCAATGCCAACCCAAAGGCAGGTAGTTTGAACCTACCAGCTGTTCCGTGAGAGAAAGGTCTTCTCTTGTGCCATTTATAGTCTCTGAAAACCTGCTGGAGGGTCAGCTGAGTCAGTTCCAACTTAACAGCACATAACAACAATAATCCTTATAGGAGCAGAACTCTAGGTTTTTCTCCTGTGGTGTCACTAAGTGAATTTGAACCACCAACCTTTTGATTATCGGCTGAGCAATTAAATATTGTGCTGCCAGGGCTTCTTGCTTAGCAGGCAGAGTTCACTATATACTTGAGTAACACCTTTTCTGGTTTTGAGCCAATAGCAGAGAGTATAGAGTGCCCAGCACACATTAGGCTTATAAATCCTAGTTCTGTCTCTATGAATACATGTATATTCTGCAACCAGACTTTCCAGAAAGCACTTAGATATTATGTGACTTCCCAAGATATCAGCTATCAAAAGAAAAAAGAATATTTCATATGCACAGTCTCCTTTAATCCTCAAATTGAGGCTGGGAAAGATTGGTTTAATTGTCAAGCTTTATATACCAAGTGCTGGAGCCAGAATGTAAACTAGAAACTTAATGCATTATATGGTTTTGAATCCTACTCTTCCTGATTGAAGAGAGAATATAACTTTGAGGTGAAATTCCTCATTAAGGGTTGAAGAAAATCTAGTACCTCAGGACAAGGCTTAACATTGTTCTGGGTTAAAACCAGAGAGAATAAGGCAAATGGGTTGCTTCAATCTCTTTGCTATTGTGAATAATGCATCAGTAAACATGGGTGAGCATATATCTGATTTTTGAGTTGTGCCTTAAGTTTCTTTAGGGTATATTCACAGTAGTGGAACTGCTGAGCCAAATGGTAAATCTGTTTCCAACCTTTTGAGAAAGTGTGAGACTGCCTTCCATTCCCACCAGCAGTGAATAAGATTTGCAGTCTCTCCACAACCTCTCCAGTATTTGTTGTTTGCCACCCTGTTGAACTCTGCTATTGTTGCTGGGTGAGATGATATCTCATAGTTGTTTTGATTTATATCTCTCTAATAGCCAGGGAGTTTGAATATTTTTTTCATGTCTTCATTTGCCATCTGAATGTCTTCTTTTGCGAAGTGTCTATTAATGTCCTGTGCCATTTTTTGAGTGGGCTGTTTTTCTTTTTGAGGTGCTGAAGTAGTCTATACATTTTAGATATAAGGTCCCTTATCAAGTATATCATTGCCAAATATTTTTCCCTAGTCTATGGGTTTTCTTCTTACGCTGTTGGAGAAGTTTTTGGTCTGCATAGAGATTTAATCCTTAGAAGGACTCATTCATCTATTTATTCTCTCCTGATTGTAGGTTTTTCATTGTGCTTGGGAGACTCTTCATGCTGTGAATAAGGGTTTCTAAAGTTCTTCCTAGCTTTTCTTTGATGAATTTTATAGTCTTTGGTATTACTTCTAGGTTCCTGATCCACCTGATTTGTGTGTGTGTGTGTGTGTTGTGTAAGGTATGGATAGAAAAACTATGGTGCATTAACACAATTATATACTATGCAGCACTGAAAAACAATAAAATAGTAAAACATTACACACATGAGGGAGAGGGTGTGAGAACATTATACTGAGTGAAATATCTCAGTCATGAAAGGACAAATACTGCATAACACTGCTGTTATAAAATAGGACAGACATGAGAGCATTGGGGAAGGAATGGGAAAATAGTGGATAGACAATGAACACTGTATTAGAACAAATAGGACAAAATGACTGTCCAAAAGGAATATAAGATTATGCATTATATGTATAATCTGGAAGAAGGGGTGCATTGTGGGGTGAGCTGGAAGGAGGTGGGAAGAAAGTGTGTAACAATGAATAAAAAAAAGAAACAGCCATTTTAAGATTAAATAAAGGATTAGAATGGGGGGAAAACCCCTATCAAAAAACCTCACAAAACAACACACCCACAAAACCACAAACCACCTAGAAAGAATGAATTACAACACTGACAGTTGTTTCCACTTTGAAGACTTATTTCCTAACTTTTTAGTCACTTATCCCAAAGCCATTTAATGCTGCTTTTCCTTTACCTTTGAGTCTTCTGGAGTTTTATCTAGACTGACTTGTGCATTCTTGAGTGCTTTATTTATTCTTCTTGTAATCTAGTTTGAGAAAAAAATACATGTCCTATAAAAATTTATTAAATAAACATATACGTAAGACATGAGGGATGATATAAGGAGAATTGAATTGTGATGCTGGAGAGAGTATTGAATATATCATGGATTGCTAGAAGAACAAACAAGTTCATCCTTGGGAAGGTGAGACCAGGCTGCTCCTCAGAGGCAAGAATTCTGAAGCTCCACCTGACATGCTTTGGGCATATTGCAAGGAGGGACCAGTCGTTGGAGAGGGACGTCATGTTTGGGAGGGTGGAGAGACAGCGCAGGAGAGGAAGACCCTGGATGAGATGGATTGACTCAGTGACTAGGGTAATGGAGGTGGGTGTGTCAGAGACGATAAGGTTGGCACAGGATAGAGCAGAGTTCAGAACCGTTGTATAAAGGGTCACTCTGAGTTGCAGGTGACTTGATGGCACATAACAACAACAAAAATACATAAGACAAAGATATTTGCTAGCCTGTGGGGATAGTATCTATGGCCTTGACAAGTGATACCAGTAGGTGGTCCCTTGATGACTCTGTTGGATCAACTGTATGGAAACACTAATCTTGGCCATTAAGCTAAAATCAACTCAACCATAACTCAGCTCATTGCTGTTGAAGTAGAACCAACTCAGAGTTGACCCTTCAGCCGGCTTTTGGAGACTGAAATAGCAGAGGAGGAGATTGCCCTTCTTCCTCTTGCAGAATCACTAGTGACTTCAGTAGTAAACCACCTTTGGGTTACCAGCTAAACTCTAATTTATGTTGGATTACAAGGCTGATGCCTAGTGTGTTGGGTTACTAGGCTCATGCCCAGGGAATAGTGAGTTATGTGAGAACTCACTGTATTTTAGGGAGGGAGTTTGTTGTTGGGTACCATCAAGGCAGAACTGACCCACGGCTAACCCTCTGGAGGGTCTTCAGAGGCAATAAATCACGTGGGAGGAGAATGCTCATCTTTCTCTCGGAGCACCTAGTGGATTTGAACTGTGTGCCTTCAGGATTGCTGGGGAGTTTCTTGCCACTAGGTCACCAGAGCTCCCTCTAGACAGTGTCAAAAGCCTCCTGGGAATGAAACGTGTGTGTGTGTGTGTCTGGTGGAAAATGAGAGTGACTTCTCATCCTACAGGTGGTGGTTAAGTCAGTTGTCTGTCGGAATCTGTTTTCTTATGACAGAGTGAACATCTCATGAACAATGCATGCTCTCTGGTTGCTGGCAGTGACATTTTCCCTGCAGTAACTCTAGCTTACTTGAATACTGTCTATTAAGGCACCTGTTATCTTACTATATGAGCTCAAACATTCCAGGGATTACTAACCACCCATTGACTCCTTTCATTTCACACTGGCAGAGTCATCCTGCTGCAGTTAGGTAATGAACCTTAGCTTCAGGAGTAGGATGTAGGGAGTTGTGCTGCACCCACGCCAAGCTCTCTGACATGGATTCTTTTGTGATCAAGGGGCTTGAAAGGAAGACCTTGGAGGACACAAAACCCCTGTCTCACCTGTCTTTTAAGTTCTACTATATTATGGGCCAGTGTTTCATTCTTCTCTTCCTGTGAAGAAAAAGAGACAGTCTCCTTAATGCTATAGTCCTATGTGTTTATCAGTTGTTCTCCATCTTGCCCCATCGATGCTTTCCTGGCAGTAACTCTACCTTCCTTGTATATTTTTCAGGTGATAAACTGTCAGATGAGTCTGATCTCAATACATAAACATTAACATAACAGGGTTTGACATACTCTCCTATTGGCCCTTATAATATTAAATATTGCCCAAGAAACCCTGTGCTCTCAGTGTCCCCTTTCATGCACTGATTTTCTATCATGTCTTTTCAGTTGACTATTATTTAACAACAGCAAGTACACACAACACATGCTTTATACTTAGGGAGCTCTTGCGGCCTAGTGGGTAAGGAGTTGTGCTGCTAGTCCAAAGGCAAGCAGTTGGAATCTACCAATTACTCCTTGGGAGAATGATGGACAGTCTTCTTTCATGAGATTTCTAGCCACTGAGAAAACCTGCTGGAGGGTCGGCTGTGAGTTGGTTCCAATCCAATGGCTATGAACAACATTCTTTATATTAAGAATGGGGAAACTGCTTATCTGACAGTTGCTGAAGGACAGATGAGGAATGAAACCTATCAAATGACTCTTCCCAGCTTCTCCCTTACGAGTCTGACTGTTTCTTCTTCCAGTTCTTCTAAGGCTCTTTCCCCTTCAATGGCAACACAGTTTTCCTTCTCCCATTCTTTATCCTCAGCCTGGTCTCTTGTCTGTGTGAGCTCATTTTCCAGCCTGGGTGGTATAAGAACACTCACATGAGGACTGCGATAGGCAGTTTCAGAACTGATAAGACACATATTATGAAGTAAAAAAAAAAAAAACCCAACAAAAAAAACCCACCGATGAACTTCACATTGGAAAACTGCCTTTTCCAAATCCATAGGATCAGAATCACCTAAAGATAGGGAAAGTAAGAGCTACCTGGGTCCCAAGACAGATTTGACAGTGTTTCAACTCAGGTAAATACCTGTTATTGGTAGGTGCTGTCAAGACGAATATGACTCATAGTGACTCTATGAACAACACATCTGAACCCTGCCCTATCTTGCACCATCTTTACCATACCTGACACAGCAGATCCCATTGCCACTGTCACTGTATATCAACCCATTTCACTGAGTGGCTTTCTCTCTTTCACCAAGCCCTGACCTTTCAGTCATAATGGCCTTTTCCCCCCCAAAGAATAGCCTCTCCTAACAATATGCCTGAAATATGTGAGATCAAACTTCACCATCCTTGACTTTATGGAGCACTTTAGTTGCACTTACTCCAACACATCTTTGTTTGTTCTTTTGGCAGTCCATGAGATATTCGGTGCTCTTATCCAACATCATAGTTCAAAGGCATTAATTATTTTTCTGTCATCCTTATTCATTGTTCAACTCTCAGATATAAAGCAAGTGATTGGAAAGACCATGGTTTGACTCAAGCATACCTTAGACTTGTTTTCTTTCTATTTTGTAATTATTTATTTGAGAAGTTTTGGTTTCGTTTGTTCCCATAAGGATTGTTGTTGTTGTTGTTGTTGTTGTTGTTGAGTGTGTTAAGTTGGAACTGATCCATAGCTGAACCTCCAGCGAGTTTTCAGAAGCAGTCAGTCACTGGAGGAAACTGCCCATCAAGCACACCTTAGTCTTTAAATGGATGTCACTGCTCTTCAGGACTTTGGAGAGGTCCCTGACAGCAGACTTTTCCAAAGTTATATGTCTCCTGATCTCCTGACTTCTGGTACTAAAGGTGTTGATTGTGGATTCAAGTAAGATGAAATAGTTGAAAATTACAATCCTTTCTCCATCTCTCTTGATGTTGTTGTCTGTTGGCCCAGTGGTAAGGATTTTTGTTTTCTTGATGTTAAGATGTAATTTATATTGACGGCTGTTGTCCTTCATCTTTTGCAGCAAGTGCCTCAAGTCCTTTTTGCTTTCAGCAAGCAAAGTTGTGTTATCTGTGTAATGCAGATTGTTGATGAGTCTTCCTCCAATCCTGGTGCCACATTCTCCTTCCTAAAGTTAAGCTTCTCTAAACCCTAAACCCTTCTCTAAACTTTAAAGCTTGAACTACTTGTAGTTCTCTTGTCAAGGTACTATCCTAGTCATTTTTGTATGATCTTTAGCAATATTTTGCTTGCATTTGATAGCAATGATATTGTTTGATAATTACCACATTCTGTTGGATCACCTATCTTGGCAATGGGAACATATATGATATATGGATCAACTCCAGTCAATCAGGTAGCTGTCTTCCAAACCTCCTAGCACAGAATTGTGAGCATGTCTGTGGCTGTACCTGTTATTGGAATGCTTGAATTGGTATCCCATTGATTCCTGGGGCCTTATTTCTTGTCAACACCTTAAATGAAACTTGAACTTATCTCATCACCCTTGGCTTTTTATCACATGCTACTTCCAGAAATTGATATTCTTGATATCCTCCCACAGCTCATCTGGTCTTCACTCATTAGCAGTCAAGACCTCAAGCCTGTTCCTGAGATGGTTTTTATATTTAGGAGGGAAAGACTCAAGGTTAGGTTCTTGTGGATTTGATTTTATTTTCTTTAGCTTCAGTTTGAACTTGTGTATGAGTAGTTGATGATCTGTTATACAATCAGCACCTGGCCTAGTCTTCACAGCCGATTAAGATTTTCCAGTGATTCCCCCCCCCCCGGCCACATGTAATCAATTTGATTCCTGTAGGCCATCAGGTGAGGTCCATGTGTATAGTCACCATTTGTGTTTCTTAGAAAACATATCTGCAATGAATAAGTCAGTGCACATAACTCTATATTTCTGTCTCCAGCCTCATTTTTGTCACCAAGTCTATGCTTTCTAACTATTTCTTCCCTGTGCCCAACTTTTGCATTCCAGTCACTCATTACTACGAATGCATCTTGGTTTCATGGTCAACAATTTCCAATTTATTTATTTTTTATTAATTTTAATGAAAATTTACAGAGACTTAGGGTTACCAGTTATTCATTGTTGCACATGATTTCCAATTTTAACAGTTGGTAGAAGTAATCTACTTCCTCCTCTTTGGTTGTTCATTTGAATGATAGTGTTATTTACAAGTCTTTCTTGTATGTGTATGGATATTATCCTGTCACTCACAACATTGTATTTCAAGATGGATCTACAAATGGGAGAAAGGAGAAAAGACAAAGATGGATATAGAAGAGACTCTGAATATTGCACTAGAGCTCTAAGAAGCCAAAACAAAGAAAAAAAAAATAAAGAAGAAGCTGAACAGAAGATATCAAAGGTCAGCTCTAGAAGACAAAGTACTAGAGTTGGAAAAATCAAAAGGGCCAAACTTGCTCGACATATCTTAAGCTGACAGAACTGAGGAACAAACTCAAGACTCAAGTTGCAATACTTCAGGGTGCACTGGGAAGAATGTTGAATGACTTAGGAAGCATCAAAAGATGGAAGGAGTACACAGAGTCACTATACCAACTGGCTGACACAGAAGAATTTCATGAAACAACATATGATCAAGAGCCTATGATAATGAAAGAGGAAGTTCAAGCTGCTCTGAAGGAATTGGCAAAAAACAAGGTCTCAGGAATTGATGGCATACAAATTGACATATTTTAACAAACAGATGCTTCCCTGGACATGCTCACCAGATTGTGCCAAGAAATCTGGAGGACAATTACCTGGTCAATTGACTGGAAAAGATCCATATTTATTCCCATTCAAGAATAAGGTGATCCAATAGTGTATGGGAATCATTGATCAATATTATTATTATCAAATGCAAGTGAGATCCTACTGAAGAATATAAAAACCCAACTGGAATGGGAATCCCAGAACACTTGATTGTGCTTATGTGAAACCTATACTCGGACCAGGAGACAGATGTCAGAACAGAACAAGGAAACACTTCATGGTTCAAGCTGTATACCATAGATGCAGCCTATCTCCATACCTTTTCAATCTATATGTGGAATAAATCATTTGGGAGGCTGGACTTTATGAGGAGGAATGTGGCATTAGGATTGGAGGAAGACTCACCAATGACCTATATCATGTAGATGATACAACCTTGCTTGCTGAAACTGAGGAGTACCTGGGGCATTTGCTGCAGAAGGTCAAGGACTGCAGAGTGTTCAATATGGTTTGAAGCTCACCATCAAGAAAACAAGGTTTCTCACCACTGGGCCAATGGGAAGCATCATGATAGAGAAGAGACTGAGACTGTTAACAGCTTCAGCTTGCTTGGTTCCACAAGCAATACTCTTTGTACCAGCAACCAGGAAATCAAAAGATGAGCTGAATTGGGGAAAATCTGCTGTCAGGGACCTCTCTAGAGTACTGAAGAGCAATGATGTTAGTTCAGAGACTGAGATCTAAGTCATGGTCTTTGCAATTACTTGCTATGCATAAAGAGCTGGACAGTGTCTAAGGATGATAGAAGAATTGATGTCTTTGAGTTGTGCTGCTGGAGAAGAGTATTGAACATGCCATGGACATGCCAAGAGAACAAACATATCTGTGCTAGAGAGGGTGAAATCAGGCTGCCCCTTGGAGGCAAGAATTTTGAAGCTCTGTCTCACATATTTTGGACATGTTGCAAGGAGGGACCAGTCCTTGAGAGCAACTTCATGCTTGGAAATGTGGAGGGACAATTCAAGAGTGGAAGACCTTGGATGAGATGGATTGACTCAGTGACTGGGGTAATGGGGGTAGGTGTCTCAGAGACAATGAATTTGGCTCAGGATAGAACAGGTTTCAGAACTGTTGTACATAGGGATGCTATGAGTCATAAGCAACTCAATGGCATGCAACAACAATCTCCTTAAATATTTGAAATTGTTTCAAAAAGAATCAATCAATTATTTTTTTTTGGTTCAGGGATTCTGTGTTTTCCCTCCATTTTCTTTTGATGCTTCCTGGATCATTCAAGATTTTTCCCATAGCACTTCTCAGTAATGCAACTGTAGACTTGAATTTGTTTTTTCAAGTCTTTCAACTTGAGAAATGCTGAGCGAACCCTTTTTATTCTCCAACTCTAGCTCTTTGCATGATACTTCTAGTATGATACTTTGCTTTGTTTGCTTTGTCTTCTGAAGCTGCCCTTTGAAATAATCTGCAAATATTCAGTGTTCTAGAAGTATATGGAAAATTTACTATTTCTGGCTATACAAAAATTCCCAAGAAGAAAAGTATCTTTTGCTATACAATATGTAAGTATTTATAACAGGTAAAAAGTCTGCTTTCCCCCCTCCTTTCCCCCCCTCCTCTTTCCCTGCACCCCTCCTTTTAGATAAGAAATTTCGCTCATGAAACCCCAACACTCACCACTGAATCTCATCTTCTTTCTTTTGGATTTTGAGAAGAAGTTCCTGATTTGCTTCATCTATCCTCTGCATATCCTTTTCAAGGTCTATGTTCAAACTATTAATATTTTTCTTTGATTGTGCCAGTTTTAAGATCTCCACTTTCTCTGACCTGTAAACTCAGATCCCAATGTGAACATGGACTGGTTATCTTAAGAGCAATAACCAATGGACTAATAGGATTTCTAGAAGACATATAGTTCATTAACTTGGCCCTTTAAAGAAAAGCACACTATTTATTAAGAAGGGTTCATAATAAAATTATATTTCATAATAATGTTTTTCACTTGGTTTAAATATTCTCCACTCTATCTCAAGAGAGACATTTCATAGGTTCTGCCTTATAAACTACTCAAATAATAATAGTAATATTTTCATCAGAAACTTCAGCTTTCTTGTGTTAGAGATAATGGTTAAATTTGGCAATCTTAGGTAAAATAGAAAACTTACTCATATGATACAGTTTGCCCACCTGGTATTTTTACCCGAGACACCTGGCATGTCATTTATGCCTGGGCCTGGCTTTGTGCAGTCACAAGGGTTTACAACTGTGCTCAAAACCCTCCATTGCCCTTGAGTTGGAACTGATGCATACATGACCAGCCCCGCAGGCTTCTGAGGCTGGATGTGGTGAAAGAAGATGGCCCTTCTTCCCAGGCTTTTGGTGGATTTGGGGGTATTCTGCCTTTGGGTTAGCAGTGCAGCTCTCTATAGACTGTGCCCCAAGAGCTCCCTTCACAACTGTGCAGGAGGGCTTTGGTCTTTCCTCCTTCTCATCCCAGAATGCTCCACTTGCCTGTTAGAAAATTCTTCCATGAGCGTCATTTCATTGAAAACATACAGGGATGTGCTGGATATTTGCTTTCAAGAATGCAAAGATCTTCTCTCTTAAGGAAATGTGAATAAAAAAAGTAGCCACTCTAGAGAATTTATAATGAACACCTGGCACGTGATGGAATTTTCTTTTCCTTAGGTGAATAAATTAATTAGTCTGTCTTTGAAAGAATTAATTGCAGGTAGGATAGAGGGCAAAGGGACTTTTGGGTAGGAATGAGGAATGATCTCAGAAAAATAAAACCCTACTTTAGAAGCATTGTCCAGTGTAGGGAATTTACAGTGGCTATCATTTCAGGAGGGAGCTCTGGTGGCTTAGTGGGAAGGTGTTGTACAGCTAACCCCAAGGCAGTCAGTTCAAATCCACCGGTGGCTCCACAGGAGAAAACCCACTGTAGGGTCAGATATGAAAAGATTCTGACTCAATGTCATATAACAACAATCATTTCAGGGGGGCAGGGGCTGCTGCAGGTAGGATACATTAGAGGATGGGTAAGTGTGGAAATAGAGACAAAAACCAAAAAATGTAGGAAGATATTAATAGAAGACATCATTTGCTTCATAAACTTGTTCCTGGATTTGACTTTGCATACTCATGATTACTTACTCGTCATCTAGTTGCTCTTCTTCTGTGTAGCTTTCCATTATAGATTCCCTATAATACCAGCAGAGATACATCTGATGACTTGAGAAAATAGGCCCACTTGTAAAACATAGAGTAACTAGCCAAGAGTTCTAACAGGTAAGGAGTGATTCCTTCCCTCTAACTCTCAATTCTATCCATGATGAAACTTGATTCTCTGATGCTTTGCCCAGCTTTTATTATGTCTCAGTAGGGTACAGTGAGGATACAGGGATAATTCTGGAAATTCAATCTATTTCCTGATAGATGATCTATTCAGAGATTGTTCACCACCCAGAGGTCTTTGGACATTTATACAAGAAAATATAGAAAAATAGAGGATACTAATGTTCCTAAAGTATTTGCTCTAGGCCTAGTTGCTTTCCTTAAGGTCCTGTAGAGGTGAATGGAAATGGATAAAAGCCTTGAAAAGTATTATCTCTACTGTCTGGTTTGATGTCTCTAATAATTTCCAGAAATTAGCATCTTCAGTATTGAATAAACAAAAACCAAGCCAGCTGTTGTTGAGTCAGTTGTTAGTCCCATGCGTGCCAGAGTACATCTCCGCTCTATTGAGTTTTCAGGGGCTGGTTTTTGAAAGTAGGCTCTTTCCCCCTGATGTGCTCTTAATAAGCCTTTCTTTTAAGCCACTTCTGGCAGACTCGAACCTCCAACCATTTTATTTAGCAGCAGAGCACATTAACTCTCTCCTCATTTGAATTGTAAAGACTGTTGTTTATTGCAGTCGAGTCAGAAACCGACTCATAGCTGAGCCTCCAGTGGTTTTTCAGAGGCTGTAAAATGACACAGGAGTAGATTGCTCATCTTTCTCCTATGGAGCAACTGGTGGATTTAAATCACCTGCCTTTGGGTTGGCAGTAAATCTACCTGCAACCAGACCACCAGAGAGAGATTAAATAGGGATCAGAAAAACCTGGGAGAAAGAAGCTATTTGGTTCTTTCTGCTCCTTCATTTTCTCTTTCTCCATTTCTTCAACAATACTCTACCTCCTTTATAGTGTTTCTGGTCTTCCTGATCCTGAACAAGTCAGATAGTTTTTGAAGAGTCTAATTATTACCCAGGGGGAACCAGCCAATAGAGTCTCAGAACCTTCTGTTACTGACATAGGGCGGGTGGGGCAGCATGTCACAGTAGAGTGGGTAGCAAAAATACTCATCATGTGCACAGACATCCTAAATGGACATACTCATTTCACCGCCAAGCCTGCTCTTTGGCTGAAGCAGGCCCAACAGATTCTATTTCTGGACAATGTCTGGGTTGGTGGTAGGAGTTTCTCTCTTGTTTCTTTGGGCTCCTTTCTTGCCCAGGCTTTGCTATTAATAGAAAATTTGAGTTCTATGGCCAGCAGACTGATCCTATTATGCATAATAGGTAGCCACCCACCTATTCAAATGTTTAATGAACATTGATAAAATCACCCACATGTGTTGTTGTCATGTCCTCGAGTCAACTATAACTCATAGCAAGCCTAAGAAAAATAGCCTTGAACCCTGCCAATAGCCTTGAATCCTGAGCCAATTTCACCGTCTGTGACACAATTGCCATCTTTGCTCGAGTCGCTTCATCAGTCTGTCTCATCCGGGGTCTTCCTCTCCTGTGCTGACCCTCCCTCCTTTCATGTGTGATGCCTGTGATCAACGTCAGTGGATTACCTGCACCCAAGTGTAGGAAGGCTTCCACGTTCCTCTGTCAATGCTTTAAGGATAATCAGCTTTTCTGTGCACCTGCCATTATGCTGGAAAAGAAGAAAGCTATTTAGAAGGTGAATCTCTGAAAGAATAAGAAATGACCTGGAAGAATTTTTTTAAATGTTAGAGGCTATTTTGAGTTGGCTCCACCTGGCAATTTTAGGAATTAGAGATAGAAGGGAAGATAAGAGTAGATAAAGAATAAAGTTGTGCACACCTGCGTGTTTTCTGAGCCTATGGTGCATACTATATATGGAACTTCGGGCATGTGTGAGCCACAGAGACCTGTGAAGTTAGGGATCTCTACTAATAAGGACCATGTTCCGTTGATTTGTGGGCCAAAGCGACTTTGTAACATACTGTAGTTTCTAACAAACTATTTGTAAAATTAATGGCCTCTGATGACCCCCATTACCATCTCCTTTCTTCCTGAAAGAAGGCATTTCATTGCTTTATGAAGCTGTACACAGAAGAGTAATTAAGTAACAATTCAGGCCAATGGCCTCTCCCAGAAATTAATGGTAGGGAGAGTTCATTAACCCCAGCTGGTTATAGCTTCTTCAGGAAATGCCCTGGACCAAGGTTATCTTAACTATTAATGGATTGGATAAGGACTTCGACTGGGATAAAAATAAAGCTCACTTTTCTGGGGACCTTTTCTCCTTGAGGGCCTACCAAAGGCAAGTTGGTAGAACAGATCCACAAGTTTGGGACCTTCTGTGGGATCAGAACAACAGATTGCTATCTGTGGGAATTGCTAAATCAAGGTAAAAACGGGACCTCAGGGGCAAATTAAGGCCTTTGATATAAGCATTCCTCATGGCTTGATTAACACAACAGCTGTTTTCCCTTGTTGACCTCTCTGTGTCCTATCCTACCCTGTCCTATGCACTAGTCTTTTCACATTTTGCTCTGTTACTCAGGGAATGCCGCTGTGTATATGAAGGAGACTGTGAAAACACCTTCTCTTGTTCCAATTAGACAGTTCATATGCTGGGCCCTTGCTCCTTTTCTCCCTAGGAACAGGCCCAGGGCAGGAACTGTCAGGAGAAGCTTCCAGGAATTCTGGCCCCTTCCATGGCCTCAGAGACAGCTATCCCTTATGCTCTCCTCACTCTCCCATACTTCATTTTAGCAAGTGCTTTGGGAATATTCTAGAAATGAGTCTGGTTTCAAGGGTCATGACCAGGCCAGACTCTGGAACTTCATTTTCAGTAATGGTTTTTAAAATGCACAATCAAGTGGGATAATTTCCTTTGTCCTGATCAATTCTTAGTAACTATTTTGACACAAACTTTGGGCTCCTTTGAATTGTATTTCAGAACCTATCTTCTCTCCTCCCCATTCCCATTCTCAGTTTTCTCAAAAGCAGAAGCACAAGTCAGGATAAAGCTGGAATATAAAAGAAAAAATAAATTAGAAAGAGGATATTGCCAGTAATTAGTATTGTTCTTTGACCCAACTATTTTTTTTTTTACCAAATGACATGTCAAGTAAAAAAATTTGGTTTTAATAAAATTTAATATCCACAAACTATGTGCTTTCAATTGATACAAGTTATTTTTATGCTTTCTTTAAAATGTTTCTAAGAACACTTTAAGAAAAGTTATTATATCGTTGCTTTATAACAATAATAAAAAAAGAAAATGAAAGTTCAAGGATCTTTCCTCAAACAAAAACTCTCTGCATGTTAATATATTTTCCTCTATCCTTTGTATATTGACTGCCTATCCATCTACAGTGTGATAGAAAAAAAATATATTGTTATATCTTACTCTTTAATGAAAAGTGAGGACAGAATGGCTTTGCTTTCATAGTTAAAAAGTCCATTTCTAGATCCATCTTGAAATACAATATTGTGAGAGACAGGATAATATCCATCCCATACAAGGAAGTCAAGTGAATACCACTAGCATTCAAATATAGGCACCAACAAACAGAGCCAAAGAGGAGGAAATGGAAGATTTCTACCAACGTTTGCAGTCAGAGATCCATCTAACATGCAATCAAGATGTATTAATAGTAATGGGTGACTGGAATGCAAAAGTTGGGAACAGAGAAGAAGGATCAGTAGTTGGAAAACATGGACTTGGTGACAGAAATGAAGTTGGAGATAGGATGATAGAATTCTGTACAATCAATGATTTATTCATTGCAAATATTTTATATGAGAAACAAACACAGATATACACGTAGATTTCACCAGATAGTAGTCATAGGAATCAGATCTATTACATCTGTGGAAAGAATCACTGGAGAAGCGCAATATCGACTGTGAAAACAAGGCCAGGTGCTGGTTGTTGAACAAATCAACAATAACTCATATGCAAATTCAAGCTGAATTTAAAGAAAATGAAATCCACAGGAACCAAAATTTGACCGTAAGTCTATCCCACTGGAGGAACAGGTTTGAGGCCTTGAACATCAGTGAGTGAAGCACCAGATGAGCTGTGGGAGGATATCAAGACTATCATCCAGGAAGAGTGCAAAGGGTCATTACAAACACAGAGGAGGAAGAGAAGATCAAGATGAATGTCAGAAGAGACTGAATTTGCACTAGAGCTCCAAGAAGCCAAAGAAAAGGGAGGAAATAAATTAAGGAGCTGAACAGAAGATTTCAAAGGGCACTGTGGGAAGCAAAGTATTATAATGAAATGTGCAAAGAGCTGGAGTCAGAAAAACAAATGAGCTGAACTCGCTCACTCAGCATTTCTTAAGCTGAAGGAACTGAAGAACAAATCTAAGCCTCGAGGCGCAATACTTAAGGATGCTTTAGGCAGAATATTAAATGATCCAGGAAGCATTAAAAGAAGATGGAAGGAGTATATAAAGTCACTGTACCAAAAGGAATTGGCTGACACAGAAGAATTTCATGAAACAACAAATAATTAAGAACCTGTGGTGAAGAAAGAAGTTCAAGCTGCTCTGAAAGAACTGGCAAAAAACCAGGACCCAGGAATTGATGGCATATCAATTGCCATATTTCGACAAACAGATGCAGCCCTGGATGTGCTCACTAAGTAGTGCCAAGAAATGTGGAGGACAACCAGCTGACCAACTGACTGAAAGAGATTTATATTTGTTCCAACTCCAAAGGAAGGTGACCCAACAAAGTGCAAAAATTTATGAACAATATCTTTAATATCATATACAATCATGCTTCTCCTGAAAATTATACAAACATGACTGAACAGTACATCAACAGAGAACTGAAAGATGTCCAGGCTGGGTTTAGAAGAGGTCGTGGTCCTAAAGATATTATAGCAAATGTTAGATCGACCTTGGCTGGAAGCAAAGAGTACCAGAGTAATGC